AGGGGCACTGGGGGGGCCTTACATTTTCGTCATATGGGGGGGCCACCAATATATAACTTTTCTGATTAACTGTCTCTAACGGCATTGTTGTTAATTCAATTTTTTTTTTATCAATGGAATTTTTCAGTGGGGTACCTTGGGGGGGGGCACAGAAAATTTTGTGTGGAACCCCCGTAGCTACGCCCCTGGCGTGAAAGCATTACTCAGGAACAAATTATACAATATTCACTGCGATGTTTTGAACACTGATTGACAAGTAGTGACACTGGTGCGCAAGCACAATACATTCTGATCTAATTCAGATCGCGCGACAAAAAATATATCACACGATCAAGATTTTACTATAGAATAATATAATGACATTACTACTAGGATGGATGGATGGATGATGGCATGGATGGATGGCATGGCATGCATGGATAGGAAGTGGCGGATGGATGGCATGGTGGATGGATGGATGGATGGATGGCCATGGATGGATGGATGGATGGAATGGATGGATGAATGGCATGGCATGAATGGATGTTGGGATGTTGGATGGCTTGGATGAATGGATGGCATGAATGGATGGTTGGATGGTTGGATGATGGATGCGATGGAGTGGTTGGTATGGATGGAGGGATGGTGACCTCGAGATGGATGGATGGATGGATGAATGGATGGATGGTTGGATGGTTGATGAATGAATGGATGGATGGATGATGGATGGATGGATGGATGGATGGGAGGTATGGAGGTATGAAATGGATGGTGGATGGGTACTTGGATGACAACAGATGGATGGATGGTTATGGATGGCTGGCATGCGATGATGTATGTATGGATGATGATGGGATGGTTGGATGGTTGATGGATTGGATGGATGGTTGTATGGATGTGATGGATGCTGGATGATGATGGACGGCATGGATGCGAATTGGATGCTGGATGCTGGATGGATGGATATGGATGATGCGCTGGATGGTGGGATGGATGGATGGTATGGAATGTTGGTATGGCTGGGGATGTATGATGGATGGGATTGGATGCGATGAATGGGATGCTGGATGGATGCATGATTGGGATGATTGGGTGATGGATTGGATGCGATGATGGATGATTGGATGAGGTGATGTATGGTGGATTGGATTTAGCGGTGGATGGCATGATGGATGGTATGAATGGATGGATGAATGGATAGATGGCATGAGCATGCATGGATAGGATGGCCATGAATGAGATGAATGGATGGATGAGGATGGATGGATGATGGAAGATTGTTAGATAAATGGGGACATGAATGGTGTATGAGATGCCCAAAATAGAAGCTGCCCGCACCTGCCCAGATTGACACCTTATCAGTAGCGTCCCTGCCCTGCTGGCCACAATTCTTCAATCATGAGTATTTCAGCGTAGATATGGTGGGCAAGATCTGAAGAGGATTGAGAGCACGGAGCTGTACATCTACTCAGCAGTTCCCACGTGTCGCCCAGCTCTGCATCTTAACATTCTTCACACTTCTTTCATAAGTATCAGTCTGTCACGAAAAATGTCATTGCGCGATAACACCAATCACTCACCGCATATAGTTCGTAGCCATACACCGTCAAATGCAAGTCATTCAGTACGCCACCCATGATGCTAGCCACTATCATGCGCTGCCAAATTCTTGCCAAATTGCATCCATCACATAGATAAGTTTTAAGAATCAAACTACAAAATATCGCACTTATATTGTTGGGAATCATGATTATATTCTCAGCCTTCATCTTAGTAAAAATCTGGTTTATGCAATCATTTTAAACAATGAACATTTGGGATGGATCAAGAGTTCTTCATAATACAAATGTTTTGTTATGAACTCTTGAAAGCCCATCGATAAATTCATGGGGCATCAATTTGAAATTAGGAAAAAGTTTCCTGTCCAGCAGAATCATTTTAGTGCTTTTTTGATGTGCTGAGACAAGACTTAGTAAAACCACAAGGTTCTGATACAATACATTATTCCAGAATTATTAACACACTCAAGTTTTTATGCAGGCATTAGTTACCTTAATGTACAAAAACCAAGCTTTTCGGGGTACCATAACCCCAAAATTAAAAAACAAGTTTCGCGTGCACCATCATCACCAATTATAATGACCAAGATTTCAGTGTGCAATCGCTGATATCAGGATAAGAGGTTTATTACTCACTTACCATCGGAGATGCCGGAAGACACCTATCACGTAGTAGGAAGTAGCCGAAACCCATCATATGGTGTATGTTTCTAATGCTAGCGTGGTGCGATCGACGACTTCGCCTCTACTTTTCTGAACATCTGGAATCAATATCATGACAGTGTAAATAGATGACAACAGGATGACGGACAATCATGGACAGTCAGTTCATTATAATAATAATTATAAAATAAAAATCATGACAGGATATCTCTGATGCATCTTTGTGGAGTTCAGCAGACCAACTCACCTTTGGATGATCGTACAGCAAGTGCGAGTGACAGAGTTATGCGCCGGAGGAATGCCTCACAAACAAGAGCAAGTAACAACGCAGCGCCAGTAGATGGCGTGGAGAGCGTTCAAGACTGTCCTTGCCGATAACCTCGGCAGTCTGGATGGCCATCCTTGTCTGTGTGGAATGGCGTATCCGGCTACGGCAGGTAGTTGTTAAATAGTTGCATGCCACCCAGACGGTTTAATCTGTGATTAATACAATCCTGGTCAAAGACTCCTACATAGTATTAAAACAGCATAGAAGCCAGAACTAAAGACGTAAATAACAGAATCCGACAGACGAGTTCCGATTTGGATAACTCGCGGATCGGCCCTCATACTGATAAGAACAACATTATGGTGTTCAACAAGTAACATGTTCGCACTAATCACAGCTGCATCCTTATATCCCTTGTGTGAATCCACGAATGAGTCGTGATCTGATACAGTCATAATATTCTCAAATGTAAACTAATTACACAATAAATCAGCGCAAATTCTGCAAAAAAAGCCATAGGTCTGGATAGGTCAGGCGTTCTTCCCATACATTTAATGCATGTTGGCTCTGACATACCATCAAAGTTTAGCCAATTTGCAACATTTACATAATGCGCCAACATGGACTAATACACTAATTGCTAATCGATATACCTTAATTTCCAGCTGTGTTTACTTTTTACATGACCAACACAGTTCATGCTGTGTTTTCACAGCATTGATTCGTATAACGTCTCCAAACTGATCGAGTATTACCTGTGTATGAGGGCCACTTAAGAAACGGCATTCAAATTGACTCCAATTTGTATAACCCACTCTTGGGCCCGCCCCATAAAAAACAACATGCCCTTCTATATTCTTACGAGAACCTTAATATGCTTGATAATTTCACACATATAAGCTCATAGTTAAAGGTAAATAGAAACTCTGTATGGATGTTGAGAAGATAATATCTTTCATTTATGACCAATGAATCTGGTACAAACGCCCAAAAAAATCTTTAAACGCGAAAAAAATTCGACAGCACCAGAGACACGCGTAGCTAGATTGCCCATCGCAAAACATCACGCAGCGACGTAGTTACGTAACAACATCATGCCACCTCACTCATCGTATCATGAAACTGATCGATCAAGGATTGATCGAATCGCGTGCTGTGACTTCTGCAACAGCTGGGTTCACATACCAGGGCCGGTAGTCTGTGGGGGGGCAAGGGGCGTAGCTAGGCCTCCTAGATTTTGGAGCAAAATAAAAAAAATTAGCTTAGGCCTATAATCTAAAATGACCCCTAACGTAATGGTTTTTGGTCACTTATCCGTGAATATGCCTCGTCT